ACATACATACATACATACATACATACCTCATGAAAAGACAGTGGCCCGGCAATACACGGTCCTTACCGTTGCTCATTGGTTCTGACTTGTGTGAATGTACCCCCAAGTCCCCCAAGTAGTATGTCTAGTACTTGGCTTTGTTTGCGTGAGCCGGGGTTGTGTATGTTGCGTTTGCCTGATGCCTTGAGACACCCAAGTCTGGCCACAGTGGGGAGGTGTGGGGAGCTAGGGCATTTATACCATCAGATCATATCAGATCCATCCTGCCTCCTGTGCCCAGTATAACGTTTTGGGAAAAAACAGTTCCTTTTGGCCTCCCACTTGGGTGGAAATTTCGAAAAGAACCGGTGGCAGGACGTGAACTACGGCGATGCTGACTGTGCAATGTTTCCTCAATGCACGAAGCTGAACATGTCAGGAGCTTGCTGCCCTGCAGCCAACGGCGAGAACTTGGAATGTTGCGGAGTGTAGGTGAAGGAAGGGCCCTTGCCCACGCTTCTTTGAACTTTGAATGCAACAAGTCAAATTCCCAAGAATTTTTTCCTTTTGGCATGGCATGCAGTGATTTTTCATGCTCAAACAACATCCGAACATCAATCTTAAAAGAGAGTTTCACCATGGCAAGTTACTCCGAACACTTGCGATTCTTTCCTGGAATCCAGCACAAATATGCAAAAAAGAAGATGAGGTCTTTTTCTTTTTCCTGTGAATGAGTGGTTGGAGTCAAGGTCCGTTCGGAGGTGAGGTGCTGATCCGTTTCGGCACGAAATGGTGGTAGAATGCTTGCAGATGAGACCTAGTGCCAAAGAGTACAAAATCAGGGTGCCAAGATCGCATGAGCTCGTGCCTTGGGTGCCTGGGCAGAAGTGGACACATATATAATTAATTTTTCTTTCTCAGGACAGTCGTCACTTGTGGCCTTTCAGAATTGCAGCCTGACTCTTGATCAAGTTTTTGAGAAGGAGACAGTGATCAACAGTATAATTCAGCACCCTCAAGCAGAGATTTTGCGGCCTCAGAGAGTGTAACTTGCAGGCAAACCATGGTATGCCACAACAGCTGGACGTTTGCTGGACTTCTGAAGCCAACACAGCCAACTCCTACAGCAAGAGGTTTTGCAAAGGCTCACGTCAACAGTCTGAAATATATAATATGCAATAGTATGCACAATCAGAACTGCACCATACACCGCCTGGATCCGCTTTTGGTCTTTTGAGTCTTCGTCTGGCACTGTGAAATTGTGCCATGTCGTGGCTTGGCCAGCGTTAGTTTCACTGGCACCATATATCAGAACAGGGAGACTCTGCGATTATGATTATATAAAGGACCAAAGCCCGTTGGAGAGGGGTCTTCCTATTCCAATAACCCATGTGGCCCATGTGTTCAATTCTACGTACTCTTTTCGGGACCGGAGTCCAAGGCCAGTTGGAGAGTTCACTCGCGGCGTTGGCCGGCTTTTCCAAGGACGCAAGGCTGGTCCGTGCGAATCTGGATTCACTCGCCTAAGCTTGCCTAGGGCCTAAGGTCCTGTGCAGATTCTGGATTCTTGCACCTAAGCCTATATAAGTAGCAAGAATGGTTCTAGTAACAAGGTTCTTGATCGGCTAGCAGCGTCGTGCCTGTTAGGGCGCACGGGGCGTGCAGCACCAGAGGCCTCCTGGGCTTTGTCGGAGGAGTTTCCCCCGACCGCGAAGCCGCAGACCCTCGGCGACTTGTGTGGAAGGGAGCCCCAAACGAACGTGCTGGGCACATTGAAATACATTGAACCTTTTTCACTTTTTGCGGGTGCTTCAGGTATGTCGCATGTCAATACGTCAGGTGTGTCAGGTAATTATACGGTATTTGTAAGAACATTCCTTGGAAGATTTGGGAAGGCCGAGCGATGTTTTCCATGACGGTTCTGTGGATGCGCCTTCTCGCCCACCAAGGATCATCCAGGGGCCGAGAGGTCCAGTGGAAGTTTGGCCGGAAAAATGGGGCCCTTTGCCTGCAGAGATGGGTTTTCCTTGAAATAGGGCACTTTGTATAATGTATATATTAATATATATTAATGTATCTAGTTTTTTTCTACCTCAGCCCTCCAGTGCCTTCTTTGGTTTGGGCCTAGCGGACTGTTCGAGACTTCGATGGAGCCGACTAAATTTGACCCTCGCCGATCCAAATGGCTACTGCATTTGTTCGTGGCCACAGAGTTTTTGGGATCTTGGCTGTAGAGTTGAGCAGAGGTGGCTTGCCATGGACCTGCGGGGGTGGATTGCGTCCCTTCATTCCCTCACCTCTAGTAAAGGTTTGTCACACTCTTTCTGCAACTGTCCAACTTTCTGAAGCCTTCACAGAAGAGTGGCTGAAGCAACTGACAAATCACGATCTTGTGCATATCATGCTGCAACATGCTAGTCACTAATGCTTTGGGAACATGCTTCAACGTTCGACATATTCGCGAACGATATCCAGCATTTTCACGGCATTTTCCGAGAAGAATGGCCAAAGGGAATGTATTTCAACCACCAACGGCACATGTGATACACACACAAACGCACGCGCACACGCACATCAACGCCTGTCGCCTCCCAGGCATCACTACCAGCCAATTTGCCAGGCGCGGATGGTGCGGATGTGCATGGGAGTCTCAGGGTTGTTGGAGAACTTCCACAGTGCCACAATGTCCCATGACAGCGAACGCCCCGAGAAGAACCGATGAGAGAGGGCCTCATTTCATCTCATGTCCTTTTAGGTTGTTGGAAGAGTGCCAAGAAGATGCAGATTGGAGCGATGACTTCACCGTTGCGCAGCTGGTGCAAAAGTATGCCACCTGGCAGAAGCGGCCAAGAAGCGAGCAAGCTCATGTCATGAATGCCTGTGGCCGCCTGTGGCCTGTGGACGTCCATGTAGCTTACAGACCCCTGAAGCGAAGTAGCAGCGGCGGCATAGGTGCTTTGCGCCGGTTTGGCTGGTTTAGACCGTTCCGACCGATCACTGCGAGGCTTGTTGTTTTTAGCAGGCAGAGCCTGCAGAGCTACCAGAAGTTGGTGCGAGATGGGATGTGTCGGGCCGAATCTACGAGTCCTGAAGCAGTTTCTATCAGCATGGCCAGAAGTATTTCAGAGGGAGACCCTGTTCATCCAGCACACCAAAAGTATAAACCGGACTCTCGCGGGAAGTGCCGTACCAAGCAGCCTGGAAGTGCCTCTTGATTGAGATTCTTTGTTCCTAGGTGATTCCGCGGACTCAGGGGACTGGATTGAGCTATGCTCTCATGGTTAACGTTGAGAATCCGAAGGACTGCTTCAGACCCAACATGTGAAGTAAATCAGCTGCTGCTTATTGCTGTCATCTTCCTGCACAGTCGAGACCTTGAGATGTTGAGGAGGTGGATGTGATGATCTCCCATGTTGGAACCTGATGACCCCGCTACAGCTGGTCACCTAGTCATGTCGGGTGACACCAAGGCGTGGGCAGAGAACGCCCTGGACTTTTGCCGTACGTTGGAGCGATCCGTGCAAGATCATGAGCGCCATAGATGAGACATTCAAGTACTTTCCTGCTTTGCTTGCTAAACTTTGACTCTTTTGACAGCTGATTTCCACCAAGAAACGCTACCCTTCTTTTTCTCTATGAGGGAAATGCGAAGACGTGGAAGCCAAGGCCACTCTTCATTTGTGCGCTGTCCCTCTACCAGTGCGAGGACGAGTATGGTCCCAGCATTGCAGAGCAGCTTGGGACACATCCGCAGGAGCAGTGATTTTGGGCGAAGCCAATCCGAAGCAGCTTCAGCGGTCAGTTTACAACTGGGCATCATTGATATGGACAGCTATACAATATAGTTAGTTTTTGAGCCCAATACCAGGAGTGGTGGTGAATTGAGGTTGTGAAACTCAAGAACAGTTCTAGGAGAGTCCCTTCCACCGCGTTTTGAAGAAGATCCATGACAGAGGAGACTTGGCTTGTTACTGAGGCGAACCTCTTTTGTCGAGGTGTTCATTTCAAACATGGACTAACATGGAACTGAACAGTGTTTCCAATTGTTTTCTGAGTAGCTTGACTTTCATCGATTTACAAAATGCCCATTAGTGAGGATAGCACGTGATTCGTTGTGTAGAGTTCTAGACAGTTTGGCATTGAACAACAGATGGATGTGAGGGGCTTGAAAATACTCCCCCCCACACACACACACACACACACACACACACACACACACACAGACACACACACACACAGGTTGTCGTTTTGGCAAGTGGTTTTGCGTTGCAATCACTAAATTGTATATAGATTGTTAGGAATCCTCCGGACCCGCAACGCGTGCAGGGGGTTGATGGAATCCCTGCACAAGTGTGCTTTGCACAAGTTCAGCCTGGGGTTTGCTCGCTTCTGTTGACCATTCTCTCCTTAGATGCAATTACCCTCCCAGGCCTTTTGACACTGCTTTGCTTCTGCGGGGCGTTGTTCTGTTCACACTACGTGCTCGCACCAAGCCTAGGGACGGTCAGTGTCCGAAAAAAGATGAACAAAGCCACCGGTCCACAGCAGGCATGGAATTCCTTTGGGCCCTCCAATCATCCCAGCAAGTTCAACATTTGTGCTACCTTTGCGTTGTAACCGTTGGAACCTAGGAAAAGAGATCGAAGACTCTGGAGGCGAGTGACGTGAGGAACTGTAATTTTGCCCGCGGCAGATGATAGCTGCTTCATGTTGCTTCTGGGCGTTCAATGATGCCAGGTTGGTGGCGGAACCGGCATTGGTTGCAACGACTTCCATGGGTAATGCTGCTGATTTCCATCACCTGCGTTTTCACTCCAGTTCCTCGGCAGAAGAGACGCCCTCGTGGCATGTTTCAAATTTGCTGCGCCCAGGTCATTCTCAAAGGCTGCATCCCAATGTATGACCACTGTGCCTATGGGACGTGCCATCCTTTGTTAGCAACTTCGATGAACACATGAGCATGTCATGCAATGTCGAGCTGTGTCGGTACCCGGGCCCCCTACACTAGTATTTAGTGGAGTTTGCCTGGCCAATCCAACCATCAGCTATGCTACTTGCAGGATTTCAGAGGAACATACAAGACAAGATATTGACATTCATGTAACGTGCCTTAGTGGAAAGGAATGTGCATCCAGTAACCCACCCAACGATGGCTGTTGGGTTACCTTGTTTGTTTGTTACCTCTTTTTTTTT